GTCAGAAATAGTTGTTTATCATGTAATTTTTGGAACATATCAATTTAATACTCACTCACCACTTAAATATAGGCTTGTAGAACATAATTTTAATTTAATTAAAGAAACTGCATTTTATCTTAAAAATATTTTATCTTATAGGATTCAGTTTCTCATACATGTATCATAACTTTATTAATTTCTGCAAAATGATAAAAAATATTAATAAATATTTTCATGGCAAGTCTCTCGGTCACAAACCCTTGGAAGTAGACACAGTAGTAATTTCCTGTTAAAAACGTTCTATTGCATGTACATGTGTATTAGTGCAAATATTTAAAACTTCAAATCTATTTTATTAACTTTATTAATTTTTATTTGTAGAAAATGCTTTTATCTTCTAACATTATTGTCCGAAGTTGCAAAAAATGAAAATGTTTATTTTTTTTATTTTTTTTTTTTCAAACATCCTTCAAAAGTGTTTTAAATAGTTATACTGTAGAGGGTGTGCCATGTTGATAATACACACATGGGTGGATAACATAAACTGTATCAAGGATTTATAAGATAAGGGTATTTAAGAATGATGTGAACTCTATTAATAACGAGGTGGTCACAAAATCACAAAACTGACATACACTTCTTGAATAACCCGGTACTAAAAATGTCTGTGAAATAAAGTGTTCATTTACGTTTGTGTTTTTCTTGTGTCTTTTCGTAATTGCATTTTGTGTGTTACCTTTTTTTGCCTTTGATAAAATCACTTGCGTGTATTTCAGTTAATGGCAGTGGTCGTCTCCCTGTGTCCTGTTCAATATGGGACTCGTAGTGACGTACCCAACGCATGTAAAATACATTGTTTGTTTACATGAAATTCAAGAAAACACTGCATGACGACCACCACCTTTTAACACATTCAAACCTTTTCAGACATATATCACACTCAGTGGTAAGTCAGACCATGTTCAATTGACACATGAAATGCGATCCTCATTGCATGTCTTGATACAAGGTTATAAAAGTTGCTTTACTGTATCTAAGAAAGCCTTGTCTGGAATCAACAAGTATTGTATTATAATCACATTACTCTCATTGATGTTAATGATCTTGAAACGGAACACATGCACATGTGAATTTTCCCTAAAAAAAGTTAGATCAGTTTGAGATGAGATTCTGGGTGTTTACAATGTACATGTATTTGGAGCCAATATTGTTAATGTGATTTTAATAGAGCAAATGTACATCCATATGTTTGTTGATTGTCTCTATTGTCTGTATGCAGATATATACTGTAAAAGGATTAATTCACTGGGTTTCAATTTTGCTTATTTCGCTGGCTGGAAAATGTGCTGAATTAAAACCTAGTGAATATGTATAATTTAGCATAGAA